GGGTGACAGAGTGAGATTCTGTCTCAAAATAAAGAAATAAAAGCCGGGCGCAGTGGCTCACGCCTATAATCCCAGCACTTTGGGAGGTCGAGGCGGGTGGATCACGAGGTCAAGAGATTGAGACCATCCTGGTCAACAAGGTGCAACCCCATCTCTACTAAAAATACAAAAATTAGCTGGGCATGGTTGTGCGTGCCTGTAGTCCCAGCTACTCGGGAGGCTCAGGCACGAGAATTGCTTGAACTCAGAAGGCGGAGGTTGCAGTGAGCCAGGATCGCGCCATTGCACTCCAGCCCGGGTAACAAGAGCAAAACTCTATCTCGATAAAAAATAAAAATAAAGAAACAACAACAAAAAAAAAATAAAAATAAAAACATGTTAAACTCCCCATTTAGTTCCTAAGCTCTGCCCTGTGCCAACAGCCCCCCTTCTCTCAGATCTCTCACCTCCTCGAATTTGTGGATCTGACGGATGAAGAAATCCCCATAGCGCCTGGCGACCTTGGTGTCCGCGATGTGGATCATATCCTGTAGGGGAAGCACAATCAGGGAAAAGCAGCCAGGTGGAGGAGCAGGGCCATCTCACCCAGGCGCCACCAAGGACTTGCGAATGATAATGATGTTGAGTGTTAGATGTAAAGGCGGGAAAAAGACCACTGGAAAACCATCACCAGTTAACAGCAAGTCACTCTTTCTAGAGAGTCTTTCTTTTCTTTTCTTTTTTGAGACGGAGTTTAGCTCTTGTCGCCCAGACTGGAGTGCAATGGCATGATCTCAGCTCACTGCAACCTCCGCTTCCTGGGTTCAAGCAATTCTCCTGCCTCAGCTTCCCAAGTAGCTGAGATTACAGTTCAATAAGCATGATCTAGGCTCACTGTAACCTCAGCCTCCTGGGTTCAAGTGATTTTTGTGCCTCAGTCTCCCGAGTAGCTGGGATTATAGGTGCGCACCACCACACCTAGCTAATTTTTGTATTGTTAGTAGAGACGGGGTTTCACTATGTTGGCCAGGCTGGTCTTGAACGCCTGACCTCAGGTGATTCACCTGAGACCATCCTGGTCAACATGGTAGAACCCCGTCTCTATTAAAAATACAAAAGTTAGCCGTGCATGGTGGTGCATGCCCATCACATCTGTAGTCCCATCTACTCAGCAGACTGAGGCAGGTGAGTTGCTTGCACCCAGGAGGCAGAGGCTGCAGTGAGCCAAGATAGTACCACTGTGCTCCAGCCTGGGTGACAGTGAGACTCTGTCTCAAAAAATAAAAAAAAGGGTTGACATGATACTGGCAGAGTTTTAGACAGGGTCTCACTTTGTTACCCAGGCTGGAATGCAGTGGTGAGATCTTAGTTACTGCAGCCTCAAACTCCTGGGCTCAAGCCATCCTCCTACCTCAGCCTCCTAAGGCAGGAGCTATACGGGACTCACTCCCATAGCTTGGACTACAGGCACACGGTGCCAAGCCTGGCTCAGTTTTCTTTGGTTTTTAAAAGCATGATTTAAAACACTAGAAAACTTCCACTACTGACGTGTTTTTACTTTGGCAAATCTGTATCAGGGACAGCTAATTTATGGCAAAAACCAAGTCTTCTAGAGCCATAAAATTGAAATGAGGGTGTTTACTTTAAAGCAAGATGAACTTTCAAAAACAAACTACCAGGCCGGGCGCGGTGGCTCACGCCTGTAATCCCAGCACTTTGGGAGGCCGAGGCGGGTGGATCACGAGGTCAAGAGATCGAGACCATCCTGGTCAACATGGTGAAACCCCGTCTCTACTAAAAATACAAAAAATTAGCTGGGCATGTTGGCGTGTGCCTGTAATCCCAGCTACTCAGGAGGCCGAGGCAGGAGAATTGCCTGAACCCAGGAGGCGGAGGTTGAGGTGAGCCGAGATCGTGCCATTGCACTCCAGCTTGGGTAACAAGAGTGAAACTTGTCTCAAAAAAAAAAACTACCCAGACGGACCTAGAAATTCCACAACTAGATATAGATCTGAAAATTAAAAACACGTGTTCACACAAAAACCTTTAAATGAATATTCGCAGCAGCATTATTCATAAGCCGTAAAGTAAAAAAAACAAAAAGCAGACAAAAAAATCCAAATGTCTAACAACGAATGGATACAAAACGTAGTTAATTCATACATGAGATATTATTCAGCTGTAAAAGGAATGTACTGATACATGCTGTAACATGAATGTAACTCGAAGACACGCTCAGTGAAAGAACCCAAACACAAACGCCCATATATTACATGATTCCATTGATCTGAAATGTCAAATTGAAAAGAGACCAAAAGCAGGTTAAGTGGTTTGCCAGGGGACAGCAGAGAGGCGGAAATGGGGAACTGCTAGTGACTGCTATTGGGTAGGGAGTTTCTTTTTGTGGGGATAGAAAGGTTCTGGAATTAGCGGAATAGTTCACACTGTGAACATATTCACTGCAACCTCAGCCTCCTAGCTTCAAGCAATTCTCCTGCCTCAGTTTCCCAAGTAGCTAAGATTACAGTTCAATGGTATGATCTAGGCTCACTGCAACCTCAGCCTCCTGGGTTCAAGCAATTTTCGTGCCTCAGTTTCCCAAAGTGGCTGGGATTACAGGTGTGCACCATTGAATTGTTCATTCATTCAATTTATTTACTGAGACAGGGTCTCACTCTGCCACCCAGGCTAAAGCGATTCTTGTGTCTCAGCCTCCCAAGTAGCTGGGATTATACTCAGCTAGTCTGTATATTTTTAGTACAGATGAGGTTTTAGCATGTTAGCCAGGCTGGTCTTGAACTCCACGTCTCAAGTGATCCACTAGCCCTGGCCATCCAAAGTGCTGGGATTATAGGTGTGAAGCATCACACCTGGCAAACCGCACACTTTAAAATGGTGACATTTTTATCATGCAAATTCTATGTCCAAATTACAGATTTTTTGGGGGGGGGAGTGGGATACAGTCTCACTCTGTCACCCAGGCTGGAGTGCAGTGGCACGATCTTGGCTCACTGCAACCTCCGCCTCCTGGGTTCAGGCAATTCTCCTGCCTCAGCCTCCCGAGTAGCTGGGACTACAGGCACGCGCCACCATGCCCAGCTAATTTTTTTTTTTTTTTTTGTATTTTTAGTAGAGACAGGGTTTCACCATGTTGGACAGGCAGGTTTCGAACTCCTGACCTCTGGTTATCAACCCGCCTTGGCCTCTCAAAGTGCTGGGATTATAGGCGTGAGCCAAGCCTCCCAGCCCAAAATTGTGTATTTTTCAAAACTGCTCAAAAAGTGCTATTTCCAACAATACGTTTAGACCAAAATGCTTTTTCTTTTTTAACAAAAAAAATCGAGATAGGGTCTAGCTATGTTGCCCAGGCTAGTCTTGAACTCCTGGGCTCAAGCAATTCTCCTGCCTTGTCCTTCCGAAGTGTTGGGATTACAGATATGAGCCACTATACCTGGCCCAAAATGCTTTCAAAAACAACTAAAAATTCAAGGTATGAGAAAAAAAAATTCCTCACGGCATCAAAGAGCTGACAAAATAGTAGCTGAACATTTTTTAGGGAAAAAAAAATCATTCCCAGAGAAGCACAGAAGCTCCCCTCTGCCCTATGGACATTTGTTCATCTTAGAAAACTTGGGCCAAGGGTACAAACCAAGGCCAGTGCAGTCTAACAGAAGATCCTCCTTATCATGCTGAGACCCCAGAGGACTTCATCTTCAAGCTCAATGCAAGCCAGAAGTGACAAGCCATCCCTCTCCTCTCCACACAAGGGCTGCCTAGTGGGAAGGGGGTATAAAAGAGACCCAGCCCAGAGAACTTAGAAACACAAAGTGGCTCTTCTGATAATCTCCAGCTGGGGCTGTCCCCTGGGTGGTTCAGGGGACCTCAGGCTATGAACTCAGTTCATGGTGGTCCCAGACAGTACTATCCCTGAGTACTTTGCAGAGGTTTAAAAGCAAATCCTCTCTAGAGGAATAAATGTTCATCATAGGCCTCAAGGAATACCAACAGTTTTTCAAGAACAATGAGCCATAACCAAGGATATAAGGAAACATCACACCATGAGTAAAAAAAGATACAGGAAGCAAAAAACAGACATGGCTAGAGATGTTAATGGGCAAGACGATCAATGGAAAGCAATTATCCAGAACACGGGAGAGATGGAATGTGTGGAAGGAGGGTGTTAAAAGGGCCGGGTGTGGCGGCTCACGCCTGTAATCCAAGAAGTTCAAGACCAGCCTGAGCAACACAGTAAGACTCCAAAAACAAAACAAGCAAGATTATCTCTACAAAAAAAAAAAAAAAAATTAGCCACGCATGGTGGCACATGCCTGGAGTCCTAGCTACTGGGGAGGCTGAGGCAGGAGAATCACTTGAGCCTGGGAGTTCAAGGCTGCAGTGAACTATGACTGGTCCACTGCACTCCACCCTGGGTGACAGAGTAAGAACCTCTTTTTTTTTTCAGACTGTCATTTAGCAATGGCCTATGGAAAGAGCCTCTTAAAAAAAAAAAAAAAAAAAGACATGGACAACAGGTGGAGGTTTAACATACATTAAGTCCTTATTAGGGTTCCAAACACGCCTGAGCAGAACGTTTCTTCACTCATGAGTCTACATACTTGGAGAAACAAAAAGGAAGGTGATATCTCACAGGAAAAAACATTCTAGGCTAAGACTAAAAATCTCACAAGAAAATAAAATGATTCTTTTAAAAACCTCCTCAGTGCCTGTAATCCCAGCTAAGTGGGAGGCTGAGGCAGGAGGATCCCTTAAACCCAGGAGGTGGGAGATGCAGTGAGCCAAGATCCCACCACTGCACCCCAGCCTGGGCGACACAGTGAGACCCGGTCTCTAAATAAATAAAAACGAAAACTCGTCGGGACTTAAAATGTCCAGTTTGAACTTAAAAATCACCAGTGAAAACTAATACCATTCTTCGAGCCACCTCTCCTCCTGAGAGGAAGCCACTGCTATGCTGCTCGCGTACCCTTCCGGAAAGAACGTGATGCATATACAGGCATATATAAATGTATTACTAGCCACTCTGTAAAACCTTGCTTGTATTTTTTGAAATAGACAAACCACACAAATGTCAATCAACAGGAGAATGGATAAAGTACAGTACAATAACAGCAGATGCTGGACTAGCACAGAATAAACATGAAGGCATCACTGCTACACAGTAACAATGAATGGTGGGTGACTCTCTCAATTATGTCAGACAGAGTACATACTGTGTAATTCCATTATATTAAAGTTCACAAACAGGGAGCACTAACCCAAGGTGTTACACATCAGGACAGGACAGGACAGGAGAGGTGCAGTGGCTCTTGCCTGTAATCCCAGCGCTTTGGGAGGCCAAGATAGGAGGATCGCTTGAAACTAGCCTGGGCAACAAAATGAGACCCTGTATCTATAAAATATAAACTTAAAATTGGCTGGAACAGTGGTGCTCAAGACCAGACTGGGCAACATAGCAAAACCCCATCTCTACTAAAAATACAAAAAAATTAGCGAGTCGTGTTGATACGCGCCTGTAATCCCAGCTACCTGGGAAGCTGAGGTGGGAGAATCACCTGAAAACAAAGGGAGGTGGCATTTCTCTCTCTCTCTCTCTCTCTCTCTCACACACACACACACACACACACACTCCACATATTCTAGGCTAAGTCTAAAAAACTCATATAAGGAAACCATTCTTTTAAAACCCTCATCAGTGCCTGTAGTTGCAGCTAGCTGGGAGGCTAAGGCACGAGGATATCGCTTAAACCCAAGAGGGTCTGAGCAGCCTTGAACTCCCAGGCTCAAGCTGATATTGTATTTCTGTATCTTTTGTTTAGATCCTCCAAGAAGTTGAGGCTGCAGGGAACGGAGATCACAACACTGCACCACAGGCCTGGGCAACCAGAGTGAGACCTTGTCTTAAAAAAAAAAAAACAACAACAAAAAAAAGAAAAAAGCTTAGTGCCGTGGCAGTATGGCAAATGAGGGTTATGTGAGGTATGATTATTGCTAACTAAAAATTAAGAAATGAAAAAAGCCAGGACAATGGCTTCCCACTTGGAAAGTACTCCAACAGTCTACAAAGCACCATCCCCTTCTCCAACCTCATCTACACAGCCTCCTTCCTCAGGCCACTCGGGCATACTGCAGCTGTCCCTTAAACTTACTGACCTTACTCCTCTTCAGGGACTTCGCTCAGGAAGCGCCTGGCACTTCCCCTGCCTGGAAGGCTCTTCCCCCAGATATTTAGTGAGCTATTTTTTTTTTTTTTTAGATGGAGTCTTGCTCCGTTGTCAGGCTAGAGTGCAGTGGCACGATTTCGGCTCACCACAACCTCTGCCTCCCAGGTTCAAGCAATTCTCCTGCCTCAGCCTCTCCAGTAGCTGGGACTACAGGTGTGTGCCATTCCACCCAGCTAACTTTTATATTTTTAGTAGAGACAGGGTTTCAACATGTTGGCCAGGATGTTCTTGATCTCTTAACCTTATGATCGGCTCACCTCAGCCTCCCAAAGTGCTGCGATTCCAGGCGTGAGCCACTGTACCTGGCTTTTGGTGAGCTATTAAGAACTCTCCCCACCAGTTGGATGGCTTTAAGTCAGAAGAGTTTGAGACTAGCCTGGCCAGCATGGCAAAATACCATCTCTACTAAAAATAGCAAGCCAGGCATGGTGGCGGATGCTTATAATCCCAGCTACTCAGGAGGCTGAGGCAGGAGAATCACTTCAACCTGGGAGGTAGGGATTATAGCGAGCCGAGATCACACTGCAGCACTCTAGCCTGGACGACAGAGCAAAACTCTGCAAAACAAAACAAAAAAACCCCCCCAAGAAACAGAACTCCCTCGCTTCCTTGAAGTCTTAGCTTAAACTTCACTTTCTCTACATGTTTTTGCTTAATTGTAGCATCTACTGTTTATCTTTTTTTTTTTTGGTAAATACAGACAAACTCTTACTATGTTGCCCAGGCTGGTCCCAAGCTCCTGGGCTCAAGTGATCCTCCCGCCTTGGTCTTCCCTAAAGAACTAGTTACTACAGGCATGAGCCACTGCGCCTGGCCAATCTCCTGCGTTTTTTTTTTTTTTAAATAGTAGAATGGCAGCACCGCAGGGTTTGATTTTGTTCCCCAATGTATTTCATGTGCCCAGAGTAGCAAATGAAAGATAGTGAACACCTAACACGAGATGCAAACCGAGGGCACAGGCGTACCTTATCAATGTAGAAGTCAACCTCTGAGGCTGACTGAAATTCACCATCCAGGGCTGAGATACCGCTGGTCCATACCAGGTTCTTCATCTTGTGTTTGAATACAAGCAGCTGGATCCGGAACTCCTGCTCTGTGAGATCCAGGAAGCCAGCCAGCTTGGCCACAGGCATGGTGGTGTAGAGCTTGAGGAAGCTGCGGATGGTTGAAAGCTGGGCCTGCTGCTGTACCTCATCAGCAAACACCTTCAGCTGCTGCAGGAAGGGCTCTTTGTGGTAGTTGGGGTGCACATTATCATAGTTGGGCACTACTGGCGATAGAAACTTGGGGCAGGAGTAACTGAAAAGTTCTTCATAGACTTGTGGGTCACCTTTCTGCATGCGCAGCATCTTGTCCCCGTATTTCTCCCGCAGTTGGAGGTGAATGCTCTCATCGATACGCATGGGGTACATGGTGAGGGCAATGGCCAGCAGCGCATGCATCTGCTCATTCTGCTTGTTAATCTGGGGATGAAGTGGAGAGTGGTAATGGGTCAAGTGAGACGGACTTCTTAAGGTCCCCAATGCCAATGTGGCCTCACCGGCCTCTGCACAGATCTTTGATTTACTCGGCTGTCTCATATCAGCCACTAAACTTCCCCAACATCTCTTCCAGTCTTATTTCTAGATCTACTGAACTTCCATCCTAGCTCCAAATCCTCCTTAGCCATCTTCTGGATTCCTTACTAGTACCTCTTAGTGTCTCCAGTTTGCCCCACACATCACTAGCAGGTCAGTCCTTTTACACCAGTTAGGATCAAGTTACCCAAAACGTTTGATGCAACCTTGATGCCTACATGTGCACGTGCCACGCAACAACGTTTTAGTCAACCACGGGCCAAGGGCCACATATAGGATGCTGACCCTACAAGATCATAATGCCGTACTTTTATTGTATCTTTTCTGTTTACATACACAAATATAAGTCCCAGCTACTCAGGAGGCTGAGGCTGGATCATCACTTGAACCCAGGAGGTGGAGGTTACAGTGAGCTGAGATCACGCCACTGTGCTCCAGCCTGAGCAACAGAAAGAGAATTCGTCTCAAAAATATATGTATCACTTTGGGAAAAAAAAAAAGAAAAATTATCTGGTGTGGTTGTATGTGGCTGTAGCCCCAGCTACTTGGAGGGCCGAGGTAGGAGGATCACCTGATCCCAGGAGGTTGAGGCTGAAGTGAGCTGTGACTGCGCCACTGCACTCCAGGTGGGTGATCCATTGGTAGGCACAATCGTATAGAGTGCTCTACAGCCTTAACTCCTGGCTTAATTAAAACTGTATTTTGGATGGTCTTTACCAAGAATGGTTGGCATAGATGCCAAGGAGTCAGCCGAGTAGAAAGGCCACTAGTGGCAGGCAGAGTGCCCCTTACCATCTCATACTTATATGTGGTCCTCTGGAACATGCTCTTGGTCCTCTGGATATAGAGGAGGATGTTGGCAAAGACCCGGATGGCATCCTGGTAGCGACGCATCATCAAATATGCAAATCCAACATAATAGTACGTGGTGACCTGGCACTCTGGAACACGGGAATACATACTCTGCAGAAGGAGATGGAACAAACATCCATGAGTGCCAATTCATCCTGGACAGAACCAGAGGCAGAAACACCAAGAGAAAAGCTTTCCCCGCAGAGGCCCTGAACTACCCAGAGGAAGCTCTGGAGTCCCAGAGTTTAAGAATGGATCTTCCTATTCACAAATTAAGTTGTATGTTTTGAGGAATCCATTTTCTTAGCTGTAACAAGAAGGTTCTGGATGAGGAATCCATAAAATCTCTTTGAGCTCTAAAATGCTATACCTCTCAGTTTTGTTGTTTTTCCTTGCTTTTTCAAGTAAGTCCTATAAAGGAACAGACAGTTAAGACAGAAACACATACATGCACATGAGCCCACCACCAAATAGTAAGTATCTGTAATACTGTTCTGTGATAGGAAGAACACAACAGCTAATCAGTGAACATACTATCTAAGAATTAAATTTTTTCTTTATTCTTTTTTTGAGAAAGAGTCTTGCTTTATCACTTAGGCTGCAGTGCAATGGAGCAATCTCAGCTCATCGCAACCTCTGCCTCCTGGGTTCAAGTGATTCTCCTACCTCAGCCTCCTGAGTAGCTGGGATTACAGGTGCCTGCCACCAAGCCCAGCTAATTTTTTTTGTATTTTTAGTAGAGACAGAGTTTTGCCATGTTGGCTAGGCTGGTCTCGAGCTCCTGACCTCAAGTGATCCACGTGCCTCAGCCTCCCAAAGTGCTGGGATTAAGGGCGTGAGCAGCCACACCCAGTCTTCCTAATTCAAAGATCAGCAAAATGTGAAGAGTAAAAAGCTGCCACTATCATTCCATTTTGAAAACAGAATAGGGCCAGGTGGCTCAAGCCTGTAATCCCAGCACTTTGGGAGGACGAGGCGGGTGGATCATGAGGTCAACAGATCAAGACCATCCTGGTTAAAATGGTGAAACCCCGTCTCTACTAAAGATACAAAAAATTAGCTGGGCATGGTGGCGCGTGCCTGTAATCCCAGCTACTCAGGAGGCTGAGGCAGGAGAATTGCCTGAACCCAGGAGGCGGAGGTTGTGGTGAGCCGAGATCGCGCCATTGCACTCCAGCCTGGGTAACAAGAGTGAAACTCCATCTCAAAAAAAAAAAAAAAAAACAGAATAAAAAACTGTCATTTACTACCGATATCGTCCAGGTACAGCTTTTTACCACTCATTTGCCCAGTTGTAGTCTCAATTTTTTTCTTTTTTTGAGACAAAGTGTCACTCTGTCACCCAGGCTGGAGTACAGTAGCACGATCTCAGCTCACCGCAACCTCCACCTTCTGGGTTCAAGTGATTCTCATGCCTCAGCCTCCAGAGTCGCTGAGATTACAGGTGCCCGCCACCATACCTCAGCCTCCAGAGTCGCTGAGATTACAGGTGCCCGCCACCATACCCAGCTAATTTTCTGTATTTTTAGTAGAGACCGGGTTTCACCATGTTTGACGGGCTAGGCTCAAACACCTGACCTCATGATTCGCCTGCCTCAGCCTCCCAAAGTGCTGGGATTACAGGCAAGAGCCACTGGACCCGGCCTAACTTTTGCATTTTTTAGTAGAAACTGAGTTTCACCATGTTGGACAGGCTGGTCTCCAGCTCCTGACCTTGTGATCTGCCCGCCTTGGCCTTCCAAAGTGTTGGAATTACAGGCATGAGCCACCATGCTCAGCTTAGTCTCAACTTTCAATGGCCTGAGGGAAGAGTCCTCTCCTCTCCTAGAAATCTGTCCTAAGAGAGCAGAGTGGTTCTCTAGAAATAGACATTCTGGCTCCGACAAGAGGGGCCAGAGGCAGTACGCATCACCTTTTTGTTCAGTTCGATGTTCTCCAGCACCTTGATGGCCTGGTAGTAATCCCCCAACAGGGAGTGCAGGCGGAGAAGCCCCACCAGGCTGAAGTAACCAAGCATCTTGTAGAGGGAGTGCCGCCCATACTCCCCAGCCACACTCTCGGGGTCACCTGAAAGAGACAGGACACCGTGAATACTCTGGTAGGAGGAAAGTAAAGGAAGGCAGACCTGACCTATGAATGTTACTCAGCAGATATCTCAGCAGCTGCCAGCCTTGAAAGCTTCCCTCGGTTGGGAATAACTTCAAAGGAATACCAAGAAACAGCAAAACCAACCTTATGCTACTTAAATTTACCAATAGTTGCCTTCAGGGTGGCAGTTCATTTTGCTTTTTATTTTTTATTTTTGGTCCCAACACATGAGAAGGCCCCCCTCCTCAGTAACATATACCCACCAAGACCCCTCCCTTCAGGTGTACACAAGGGCAAAGCTATTTTCCTAATAACACTAAGATGCTATTAGCCCTTCCCACTGAGCTGACATCTGCATGATGCAATATCAGCTAGGTAAAACTACTTTCAACTTAAGCACAAATCAGACAGTGACACCAAATTGTACCAATAGTCATTATACTGTTCCTTGCTATGCACTGGCACTAGAAGAACTCGTCCTTAGCCAGGCATGGTGGCTTGCGCCTGTAATCCCAGCTACTTGGGAGGCTGAGGTGGGAGGATGTACTTAGCCCAGGTACCACATCTGAATAACCAGAGTTTGTACTTTTTGGAGACAGAGAGCTATAAAAGGGCTATTGCATTCTGGCCTGGGTGACAGAGAGAGACCCTGTTCAAAAAAGAAAAAAAAAAAAAAAAAGAGAGAGAAAAAGAAAAAAATCCTTTTTTCATGGAGTACCATTTTCACTTGAAAGAACAACTGATAAGAGCTGAGCACAGCTCACACCTGTAATCCCAGCACTTTGGGAAGTCGAGGCCAGTGGATCACTTGAGGTCTGGAGTTTGAGACCAGCCTGGCCAACATGGTGAAGCCCCGTCTCTACTAAAACTATGAATATTAGCCGGGTGTGGTGGTGCATGCCGATAGTCCCAGCTACTGAAGAGGGTGAGGCAGGAGAATCGCTCGAACCCAGGAAGCAGAGGTTGCAGTGAGCAGAGATTGTGCCACTGCACCACTCAAGCCTGAGCAAGACTCCATCTCAAAAAAAAGAGATAACTGATACCAACTCTGGCAGACATTTTCACAAAAATAAAAAATGAAGTAAACTTGTCACACCTCAATGAAAAGAACTGACAGTGTTTGCTAACAATAAAAAAATTCAAAGGTTGAGCTCAGTGGCTCACTCCTATAATCCCATGAGTTCGAGATCAGCCTGGGAAACAAAGTGAGAACTTATTTCTACTAAAAAAAAAAAAAAAAAAAAAAAAAAAAAAAAAAAATCAGCCAGGTATGGTGGTGCACACCTGTGGTCCACACTTCAGCCTGGATGACAGAGTAAGACCTCATCTAAAAATAAAAAAAATTCAAGCTTTTAAGCAAAAATGGAATTTTGTAAAACTCTTGGGCCGGGCGCGGTGGCTCATGCCTATAATCCCAGCACTTTGGGAGGCCGAGGTGGGT